TTTGTACTGATTTTTAGAACAGATCGATATATCATATTTTGATCCAACCCATGCTACTTTTATAATGATTTAATTGAGTCACTCTGTCAACCGCCCCATGAAAACACCAACAGAAAGCCAATTGAAGGATAAGTCACAGAGCCAATTAAAATTCAAACCATTACAAATGTAAAAATGGCCAAATTCTAATAAAGTGACCTGATTAAAAATAGCACCAAATGTGATAGAATTTCCTAAATTACCCAAAGCATTAGCTATAGCATCATAAGTCTACATCACATAGATAGCTTTGTTAAGTGTATTAAAGGGTACTGAGTTGTTTATTGGAAATGAGAGATGGGTAGGAAACCTGTCTTTAATATCTTTTCTCCTGCTGTCCTAGCTTCGTACTTTAACACAAATCATGGTTTCCCATCTTAAGCGACTACTCCTGCCCCTTTCTTTTCCAGTAACATATCCCCTTATGACTCAATAAATAGAATTTCGCATGTAGAACACAGTTGATGCAAGTGCAACTTTTTATGTGTTTATTACTGTATTTAATAGTCCAAACATTCAGGTAAAATTGCCAATCTAACAATTTGACTTTGAAGATAGCTAGAGTAAGATGAGCTTATTAGATGTAATTTTCGTCATGATCTTTGTCATATGGATTTTCAAGGGTTATCTAGTGCCAATGAATATATGTAATATTGGTTTTTATGCAAGCACACTCTAACCCCAATTTTTCTCTCCTTCATCTCTCTTCTGATGTCTCAACAATTAAACAGCTACTGTACTCTCCTGCCCTATTATAACTGAATTATGTAGGTCTTGACATGAACACTTCTGATAATACCATACATGTTATAGTTAAAGCACTGCACAAGAAGTATCACAGAAAAATGAGCTTGTAATGGCTCTCAACATTTAAACATGTCAATTTAGATAGTTTATGCTTGCTAAAAAAAGTATGCCACGTCTCATCAGATTGTACATTTCCAATGTAATTTGTTAAATTAAAGTGATACAGAGGTAAAGAAAATCAATAGGTGAGGTGTATATTGTAGCTTCACTGTAAGGAACAGAGCTCTCATCATCTTATCCTTGCCAATGCAGAGAAAGCAACAAGTTAAGAAAGTTCCAAGTGAAACCAATTGGATGCTCTGGGGATGCACTAAACCAGATAAACCATGGAACAAGAAGGAAGTTGAAACTTGAAACTGCATCAAAAAAACAACAGAATAAGCCTTATCCCACTAGGTAAAGTCGCCATATGATCCTTTTACCATTGCACTCGACTCTTTATCAAGTCTTTCGAAACTCGAAATGCTCAAAATTTTTACTTCTCGTCTCATTTCACATCTTTTACATCTTCCACTGCCCTTTCTGGCTAGAGCAAAATTTTGTATGAAAAGATCAACACTAAAAATTACCATCATAATCTACAGAGTTGACATACAATCAATTATTGTCTGGGATGTTGAAACCCAGATTACCTTATCTGGAAAGCATTCGGACAATATCACCCTATGTTTCCAGTAATTACTAACGTGAGTAAAGCAAGGTGTACGAACACCAATATACATATAAGTTTGCAAAGTAACGTGGTGGACTGTATGCTGAAATATTATCCCACAACGCTTGACAACGGGTCCTAAATGCTCTTTATATTCATGTGGTCTCCCTCCACCTATCAGCCTCCACCTATCAGCTTAAGCTTTTGGATTGGACTTTCTAACATAGTATCAGAGCACTATTACTTAGTAAACCATTATTCTTACTAACATACTGACATGCAAAGAGAAAACAGCAGAAGCACTTGAGACAAATAAACCTTTTTCATGCAGTAAGCTCATGAGCAAGATTTTAGTACCTAACACCCTGTGCATCACAGTATGAACAAAGCCAAAATTTAGTTCACCGTCCACCCTTCATGATCATTACCTCGCTTTCCAGGTTCAACACATTTAAAAACCTCAGGAAGATGAAACTTAAACTAAACTCTACCAGTTATCAGGTCAAAAGAACTACTTTGACAGACTGCTCTTTATCTCACTCCTAATTTAAATTCCCAAACCACCCCCACAGTAAACCAAAGTGAATTGACCTCAACAAAAGGACAGTGATGTAAAACACTGTATGAAACAGTTTCAGTTATAACTGCTCGCTCGAACTGCAGCCAAGTTCTGGCGCTTACAAAGTTTGCATATTCTCATTTTTCAGTCAACTTTATCCCTCCCACCGAAAAACTACTCTCCTCGAGTAAATAGTCAAGTTGAATGCGACAAACACCTTAACTCTAAGTAAATCTGCATTAAGAATGAGAAAACGAGGCAAAACTTTCTGACCAGCTTCCGTAACATGTCATATCCCCAGAGTAATATGAGTGAATAAATCATACGAGAGGGTAGACGAGAGAATGATGGTTGTCATATGGCTGTTAGTTAGATAGTAGTAGCAAAATTGCAATTATGATGGCTTATTTGAGTTCTATTGCCTATTATGCCATTGTCATGTGAGTGGCTTGTGAGTGAGGAAGCTGTAAGAGCAGATATAAGTTCTCTTTTGCTATTTTCCTTAACGAATGAAATACAGAAGCAATATTCTCTCTCAACTCACTATCTCTTTTTCATTTGCCTTGTCATCTATTCTCTTCTCATCTCAATCTAAATTCTTCTCATCTCACTCAAATTTCTCTCTTAGTTCATTAGCCCTCTAAGAGCTCCTTCAACTTGACTTAATTTTAACTATCTTCCCAAATGGATAGTGACATCTCAACTCAACTACTTGAGGATCTGCTCGGGTGAGATTTGGATATAATATCCCGCATGCTATCAATCTGACTAATCCCTGATTTCATATAATTAAAGACTGGAAGAGAATTTTTGTCAAACATATAAGCTGCATGAGTTCCCCGACCACCAAGGACTCAGCATTAGTTCAATAGATCTATCTCAATGTTCTTTTTTACCAGGAAACCAAAGGGGCAGCATCCCTGAATAAAAAACATGTAGGCAATTTGAGCAAGATGTGTAAGCTTGGAAGATGGCAGTGCTCACCGTACCATTAGCTTGAAGTGCAAAGACAAATGTTCTTCACATCGCTAAATGGAATGTCGGATATCCTAGTAAAGCTTGACATTTTCATTCTCTCCACATAAACATAAGACTGCCGCAAGTGCAAGAGTTTGTTCTCTTCAGGTCAACTTAGAACAACCGAAGAAATAGAAAACTGAAGCAAACCACAAATTCTCCTATGAACATGGATAAATCAATGAAACTAAGCCAGACTTGCCAACTTTTTGTGCGCATATACAGAAGCTAACTTGGAAGCAACAAGAGATGCTGCATATCCATTATGTCCTCAGATGCAGTTTTTAAAACCAAAAGTTAGAGCACGCCACAACGAAATCCCAACGCTCTCAAGCCATCAATAAGCAAAATAAAATATGCCGACAAGTTCATCCCAAAAACAATCCACAAATCAATCAAGAAAAGAAAGAGGATGACCCAGAATTCAAGATCAAGAACTCTCACCTTATGGAAGCTACGGACACTAGTCCTCTCGATCTTCCCTCTCCCCTGCGAGCACTCAATACCAGCGGACACACTCGGCAGGACAACACCGTCAGACACCTCAAGATCCCTCGCATGATCATCGTCAAGAACCACAAGCCTAGACCCAGGAGCACCCTTGCAATAAAGGAGCCTGATATCAGAAGTGACATCAAATCCTCTGCCCAGAGCTTGAACAGAATTCAAGAGGGTGGTGGTCAAAGCATCATCCGGGCTCAAGCTCAAGCTTTCCATGGACTGAGGATCTTTCATTGATCCAAAAGAAGATCAAGAAACGATGTCACTGGTGATGGGGATGCTGGGGGACGATCGAGCGGGGTGTTCAATCCCAAGAGGAATCTCTCAAAGTTGTCAAAAGGGTGAATTCTCTTCTGGTGGGTTGTGGTGGGCTAAGATTGGACTCCGCAGTTTGGTGCTGGTTTCTTGGGCGTTTGCTTTGTTCGTTCCAAGGTTGTCTTTTGACCGTAATAAATTGGATACCGCGTTCTTTTGCGAACGGAGGATTCCGGTTTGACTGGTCCTCTTAAGGCAAAAGAAAAATAAAGAACAAAAGGAAAGAGATGGAGAAGCGATGCTGTTCTGCGGTTTGTTTGGTACCTCGGCAACAAAAGTCAAATACTGCAGCTTTTTCGGCAGTCCGCCTGCACGAGTGGACTAATGAAAGTTAGACTAGGTCCGGCTTTGAATGTTGGGTATGTTGCTACTCTCTCTGTTTGGTTCTTTCAACCTTTCTTTTACCTTTTCTGATTCATGATAATTTGTCACTTTATTTGGTTTACATTATACTGTCATTCATGTTATATCTCTCGTGTAAGTTTTGCAAGCTCCATTCAGTTTAGGCAGGAAGACAGCCAACATTGCTTGCAATCAAGAAATGCTATCTCTGCAAAGCAATTCAAACTTTCCCCATCTTTTCGGTGCTCAAATTAGTTAAGAATCAGTAGAAAAAAAATCGTCTTTTGGATGAAAGATGAATTTCTAGGCAATGATTCATGCGTTCAAACTCTTTATATTGTTAGCCGGCACCACTACCATCAACAAGAAGCATCAACACATGGTTCTCGCTGTCCGGTCAAATCAATCATTAAGAAATGAAAATATGTAAAGTACATTTTCCTTGAAAAAAAAAATCTGCATGTACCACCATTGGAAACAAGTTAAAATGTCACTCAAACTTTGATTAAAAAAAAAAGGAGTTGTGAAAAATTTTGCAAATTGATCTACACAACACTATTTGTATGTTCAGAAAAAAATAAGGGAATTGATCTAAATAAAAAGTCAAATTGCAGGAGCTGCTAAATTTAAAAAAAGGGCCATTCCAAATAGGTAAGGAGATAAAAGAGGACTAAAAGAATATCGTTCCATGAGTAAACTCTACACAACTGAACGGAACATGTTTACTGATGGTAATCATAATAAGAACGACCACGGTGAGATAGAAAAGGTAAGGCGAGAGAAAAACATCTTTCGACTACTACAACTAGGAAAATCGGCAAAGGAGAATATTGTACAGATGATGCGTCCTTCTACGCATCACCATTTAATCATCGCATGATGGTTACGACCCGTGGCATAACATTTGTACATGGGCCGCAAGCTTCCCTGATGCAGCTGCAAAATTGCTAAATCTAAGAAAACAGACACTTATGCTAAATAAGGTCTTGACTCCGGTTTAATTTCCACAAATTCATTGTGGGTGGATACGGAAGACGAACCAAAAGTGTGTACCGCAGTCACGTTCCCTGATGTCATGTTCCCCGATTGGTTTCCACTCATGCTTCGACCTTGCGTGTGCCGGCGAATGTCTCTCATAGCCTTGAACCTTAGGTCTTCGCTGTACTTGCCTGGTTCTGGGATCGGATCTGAAACAGTTGCTCTTCCCTCGAGCATGTTCACCACCTCAGACATTGTTGGTCTTAGTGATGGAGATGCATTGGTGCACAATAGAACTACTTTGATGACCATTTCTGCTTCTCCTCGATCAATCTCAGGCTTCAACTTCTCGTCCACGAGTTCCATCAAGTTGCCAGATTGTTGTAATTGACAGGCCTGTAATAACAGCATTAGTATCTTCAGCATGGAACCAACGGATCACCATATTGTGCTTCGGGTCGTTTTCTAATATGACAAGCACCTTTATTAAATTCAATGATGAAATGCCCCAAAATTTCTACCATCAAACACCAAGATAATCTAAAAGTTAATATTATCTCCACATGACAGCATGAGTAGAAGCTCTTTCTCATGAATCTGGTCTTACCATGCCATCTCATTAGATTGCTCATCATAAAGAGCACCTGTGGCAGTTAAAAATGAGAAGAACTTACCCAATCCAAGAGGCAAAGGCACTCGTCGCTCGGCACAAAACTGTTGTTGCTTTGACCACTAACAATTTCCAAAACAAGAACTCCAAAGCTGTACACATCTGCTTTATAGGTGAGGTATCCCCATAGGGCATATTCAGGCGCCATGTATCCTCTGCAAATAAGGATATAAGTTCTAGGTCAAACTTTCATCAGACATCTACGTCACACATATAAGAACAAGTTAAAATATGGTTTTTGTGATATTCTCACAAGGTCATGGCAACTCACACTGTTCCGGCAACCTTGGTGCTAATATGAGTCTTTTCCTCTTCGTCGAGCCTAGCCAATCCGAAGTCAGATATTTTGGGGTTTAAATCTTGATCCAGCAGCACGTTAGTAGCTTTAATATCTCGATGAATAATTCTAAGTCTGGATTCTTCGTGAAGAAAGGCTAGACCTTTAGCCACTCCGATGCAGATTTTAAGCCTCGTAGGCCAGTCAAGTTGAAGTCGATAGTTCTGTGGACCTACAAAATACCCATTCATTGTCTAGTTCACATGGCACAAGGATTTAGCAAGAACTCAATTGAAAAATTCATAAACTCACCAAACATAACACGGGAAAGACTATTTTTCTCCATATACTCATAGACCAGTAACAGTTGATCCCCTTCAATGCAACAGCCGTGAAGCTTGACAAGGTTCGGGTGTTGCAAACAAGAAATCATTCCTATCTCATTCAAAAATTCGCGATTCCCTTGCTTTGATCTGGATGAGAGCTGTTTCACTGCTACCACAGCACCATCAGGTAAGTGACCCTGCACACACAATAACTTACAGTTTCTTCCGAAGCAAACCAAGGGGGAACTTTTGTATTGTGGAGATACAGATAGCAATTTTATACCTTGTATACAGGACCAAAGCCACCCTCTCCAATCTTAAAAGCAGGATCGAAATCATTAGTCGCTGCTTTAATTTGCTGCAAAGAATAAGTCCGTGTTTGCAGATCCAATCCTTTGCGGTCATCTGGACAAAGATTTCAAAAAATCAGCAGGAAATAGTTCTGCAATGTCCAAAGGAAAATCTCGTAGCAATGCAGATTAAGATGACATGTATCCATTATTTTCCAACTGAAGAACCTTTTTCTTACAGAAAATACATATGTTGCTGAACACATCGAGAAAACCTTGCTTCTTGAGGAGTAGCAAATTAAAGAATGAAGGAATCGAAGTGGAGAACAAGTAGAAAGGAACATGTGTGAATAAATGCGCCTCTGTGTTTCTGTTTGTCTCTTTTGATTGGTGTATGCATACATAGACATACATATATCGGGCCCCAAAAAAGGATTTCATTTAAACTTATATACGTATGATCCACGTTGAAAGGGAGGGATTTATGGTATAACCTGCAGATTTTCTTCTCTCCCTTTTTCCAGTCAAGTACCCTTTCCACCAAAGGATGCACAGCACGAAGAAAACAAAGCACAAGACCCCAACTCCTATGAAGATAGAATTAATTCTCCTTTTTGTACGACTAGCGCAAGCTTCAAAATCTGCCCAAGGAAACAAGTCAAAAAATAATACTACTTCTGGACAAAGCACTAAGGAAAAATATCAAAGGAAAAGTCCAAGCTCTAGATTATACAATGGATGAAGAAAAGAAATCCTTATATTTTGCTTTTGAAAACCAACGTCATTTAATGTATGATTTCATTTCACGAAGAAAATAGATACAAATCCTCCTTAGGAACTTTCTGCACTCAATTGGAAAAAACAAGACACACAGTTTCCTCTATATTCGTGTCTATATATGGTTTCATACCACTGATATATTATCATACGAGCAAAACTGCAAGACTAGTAAAATTCACTCTGTTTCAAGCATGATTCTGAAAATGTACCAGGTCATGTCCTCATCCATGTGGCGGTAAATGCAAATGTAAGCACTTGATCTGTTTTGAGTTTTTAACATGGAGAGAAGAAAAGAATGAGATCTACTCTTGGCATAGAGGAGAGCAGCAGGTGCATTTTTTCGAGCTGTTTTACTATAGCAATTTGACTAAACAAAGATTTGAAATTTTTTCTATGTTCATCATTATAGACACGGCATTGGACAATTAGCCAGCAAAAGGAAGTGTACTTCATCCCTTAGCAGAAGTATAATGTTTCTGAAGATAACCAAATGCCCATAAAATTTGACCAGATTATGCCTCCCACACGTATTCAATCCACCTTTTAACGAAGCAAGCTGGAGGCTCAAACAACTAGAAAGTTCTACTCACACATACTAAAACTGGACCTGCGAAGAGAAAGCTACAAAGACATTCTACAAAAAAAAAAGTAGTATTACCATTAGTCGGAGCATATAATGGACACTGGTTTATTCCTAAGTTGTGGTGGGTAATGTCTCACCCAATAAGTACACTTATTCATTGGGACCAAATTACAATGAAGCAGTTGGACTTTAATAATATTAAACAGTCAATGCAAAGGAAAGGCAAAAATTACACTGGTTTGGTAGATTGCAACAATTTTGTGCAAAATATTTAATGACTTCTGGTGCAATTATACGTAAAGAAAAGAGATAAACAATTGACTCACCAGAGACAACAGAAATTGCTGATACTAGAGGACCATAAACACTTCTACGGGGAATTCTTGTTGTTCCTTTACCAGCCCAATAAAATCGGACCTCCAGCATATTATTGGTCACATTGACAGTAAATATTTCCAGTGCAGGTTTTTCAACCCCACCTGCCTCATCTTTGATATTGAAATCCTTCCTGACTAATTTGTCCTGTGACATTGTAGCGTGTTGAGAGAAATGTCCAACTCAAAAGATGTAAAAAGCACAAGATGGTAACACGTGGAACTACCTGAACATATATATGAAAAATTCGCTTCCCGAGACTGTTAAATGCATTGTCGGTGGTGAACTGAATCTCTGCAAACCGCAAATGTACAGTGTACTGTCCATTTCTTAAGCAATAAAAGAAGTAGGTAAGCGAAATCGGAGAGATTCTTGCCGTTTTATCCAGAACATCCATGTTTGCATCTGATGAAGTGACAGTGTATAGTTTATTTTGGAAATCATTGTCATCCATGAAGTCACCCGTGCTACTAAATCCCCAATTCCAAACCCTATCAAAGAAGTATAATGCAGTACCGCCCTCAACCTCTCCATCTCCTTCGTACAGAACAGTCTGTTTATTTTCTTTGATGTTTGCATCTTGTCCGCCGCAATTAACATATCGGCAACTCGAATCTGTCAGGACAAGTTCGAACTTCAGCAAAATAAATGGATGAACCTTAAATGAGAAAGCCGGGAAAAAGTGTTAACATATTTGAATATTAAATCACGCCTTCATCTAACAGGTTAAGCTTTTTAAATAGTTGGAAGTGGTCTTACAAAATTTTACATGATATCATAGCAAAAGGTCCTAAATACAAATCTTATCAGGCCTTTATTTGCCCTCCCTATTATACATTTTCATGCTCTAGTTGTAGACCAAAGTCCAGCCTACAAGAGAGGGGGAGTGTTTAAGCATTATTAAATCACGCCTTAATCTAATAATTTAAAAGTTGAGAATAGTTGACAATGGTCTCACAAAATTTTACAAAAAGAATGCTCTGCATATCAAGAACAAGATAATGAGGAGATGCTGTCCATGAACAGAAAAAGAAAACCTTCTCATTTTCCATAGAGAAACATTGAAGTGACCATTTAATTGATTAGACTGTTACTGAGTCATATATATCAATTGGAAGTTTTAATACAGAGTGGCGTTCTATCCAATACACGTTTTGCAGCTCACAAAAACATACTTACAGCGTGAACAGCGGAAGTTGTCCAAGCATGGAACGGCTCTACTTCTGCAGCAGAGTAGAAACATAAACCAATAGTTAAAGATAAATCTTCCTGCCTTTTGAAAATGAATCAAGGACATAATAGTTTGAACAGAGCTAGCAAAAATAATACATGATACAAGTCTAAACTGAGTAAAGAAAGTAAAGTGAGGAAAAAAAAAACGAGAAATCTTACAAGTTGTTCTCTTGTGAAGAGCTTTTGAATAGGTTCAAGTTTAGGTCTCTGACAGAAGAAGAAAAACTGACTTATCAGATTTCTTAAGTACACAACACTATGACTTATTGGGCAAAAATCACGAGAATCCTCACAAGTTGCCCTGACAAGCTCGTTGCTCAGAGCTTTGCCATGAAAAGTTGTTGTAAGAAAGATCGCTGCATCCATGCAACAAAAAACATTTGAGTAATTTTGTCTTAAGATGAAGATTTGACAGCAATTTAATCCCAAATAAGCAAAAGGAGGCAAACTAAAAATTCGGAAAGTAAGTTTGTAAAATCAACATTGACGAGAAGAAAACATACACACTGGTTCCATCCTTCAAGATCGAGTCTGGTACTTGTCCACTCAGAATATTGCCTGTTAGAAAGCTAGCAAAAACAAAATCTGTGGTTTTAGCACTGATGAAGAAATAATTGAGCAACAAAAAGCATGAGAAAAACAAAAATTATTCATTCATCTGAATATATACTGTGACGTAATTACAGATTGAATGCCCATTTGAGGTTGGAACATCTGCTACTACAAGCATGTTGGTTTTGTAGAACGTGGCTTTGCCTCTAAGGGTGCATAAAATAAAAACACCGACATATGTGATGATCACATGGCTCAATTTTTCTGTTTTTAATTCAATCCTACTAACAAAGATTTCCATAAAAGAATGTCCATGTCCACAGTCATGTCACCACTCATTTAATTATATCTCATACAATTGATAGGATACAGACTTACATAAATCTCGCACTTTTTGCAGTGATTGTAGCTGGAATTTCACCAACTAATTTGTTGAAGCTGAGATCCCTGTTAAATGGAGAATATGAGTGTTCGTATGCGAAATATTACTCCAAAAACTGAAAAGAGATATCTCCAATAACACAGCCAGTTCTAAGTCTTGTGCACAGGACATAATCAGAGGGTAGCAATGTTGAGAAGACAGTATGTACACAAACTTGACCGGATGCAGAAATTAATGCCAAACATCCCACCAAGAAAACCCCCTGCCCATATTGGTAACTTTCTTGTATAGTAAATTTTGGTCACCAACTGAAAAACGAACTTTGGATTAGAATGAATCATGTATCCCCAATTTATACACAAATTCCATGCAACATCAGTGTGGTCCTCCAATCAGAAAAAATAAATAAAAACAAGATGCATGGTTTATTGCCATAATGGCTTGGCTATGTCAGTGAAGTATTGTTTGTGGCTGTTAATCAGGAGTGGAACCAAATCTTTTGAGGTCATTAATTATACCTATTTATAATATTGCAACTCACACTGATTGTCAGTTGTAAAGTACAAGTAAGAAGGAGCAGCAGTCCATGTCTTGGCTGTGGGAAAAATGTCCACTTTCAAGGCTCTATTCTAGGCGCTCAGAACAGTCCACCATTGCGGATTGGAAGAGGAAGATGTGGACAACCATAGCAGGAGGCAATTCTGTGTCAGTCCCAGAATGCCTGACTTTGTTGTATTTGCACCGATTCAATATAAGGCCTCCGACAGCTAGAGAAATCTATGTAAAAAACAACAACGCCTCGTTCGATAGCACATTTTGTAGAAACATAAGTTTGGTATATAGCACTTTAAATTTGACACGATCAAATAATGTAAGTGCAGTTAGGGATCAGAGTCTGATATATATTTAGTAAAAGGTCCAAAACTAAATAATCACTATAAACACCCCAAAATATAGTGGTCTGACTTGAGATGTCATACAAGGGTGTAATTGCTGGATCCTTTGAGTAACAAACAAGTACTACAAAACGCACAAGTCTGAGACTTGGTGTTGGACCCTATAAGTACCCAACAATGGTATATGGATACATCAAGTTTAAGTTAACTGAGTTTTAAACAAAAAGTACAAGTTAACTGTTCTTTTTATTAAAAGAAAAATCAGTATAAGTTAAAGTCCCAACTGAATTTTCCACCAAACTTCTGGCATATGCAAGGTAACACCGTCAATAGAATAGATCCTTCGATCATGGAACGTTATCGTCATGCACTTTCAGCTCTCTTGCACAGCATGATTTTGGCACTCCTACTTGTGCATCTACTGTTTCTCATACAGTGGCTAAAAAAGAAACTTCCAAATTCATTCGAGCACCCAGACAAGATTAACCACTACCTTTGTGCAACAATGAAAAATTGTACCAACTTCTCCGAAGGATCTTTCAGATTATGGAAGATGGTTAGAAAGTCTATTCAAAATTGAGAACGAGTGACATGGACATTAGCATGATTTGTACTGTAAATGATGCAAAAAGCAAGCTAAGAAATTTTACAGACGATAACTCACACAAGTTATACTTACACAACTTCTAGTTCTTTGAAGTTCCAAATGTAAGAGGGAATCTCCCCAGATATGTTACAGTTCCTTAGCACCCTGACAATGTAACAGATTAGTTACTCAAACATCCGTGACTTGTAACAAAATGACCTCCTAGTAGAGAAATGAGTGAAACAAGAATCAAACCCACAATGTTACAAGGCCAGTCATATTACTGAGATTAGGAAAGAGCAGTCTGGGACCAATTATGTCACTAATCCTCCTGAAAAAGATATAAGAACTTGCTCTAAATTTCTCAACTTGATAACTGCACGTCAAATTTTCAAATATGAGTTTCGCCGGATCATGACAGGATACTGTATGCTTACAAGCTGACCATGTCATTCAAAAGTGAGACACCAGTTGGAATAGGCCCCTCCAGCCCACTTGCGATCATTTCTCTTCACATCACAATATGAAAATCATAGTTACTTGCTTGGAATTAGTAGTATTTGCTTTTCTTCATCATCTCTAGCTTAAAAGAATTCAAAATATCTTACAATCTATTGAGTTGTTTCCAGTTCTGGATGAACTCTGGTATTCTGCCACTGAAGTTATTATCACTTATCCTACTGCATTATGCAATCGAAACATGTCATCAGACATTTGAATTAAGATATATAATCTGTATGGGAGGAACAAGACAACAACTTACAAATCTGTAAGATTTATCAAACCAGCAAAAGTGGTCGGCAAGTTTCCAGTTAACTGATTGGAGGACAACATCCTGCCAGCATAATATGCCAAGGATAAACCCTCATGAATGTCTAACATATACAAAACTTGCAATCAGCACGAGTGGACAATTAAAAAACAATGGAGCATCTCACAGAGTTTGTAAGTTGATCAAACTTCCGAGTTCAGGAGGAACATTGCCAGAGAATTGGTTGGCCTCAAGGCATCTGATTTAGAATCTCTAGTCAAATCACTAATAGTATGAACCAACATAACTTAAGACAAGGAAATTGCATAGTAAGTTCCTAGCTTCACTGCAAAAGGTAATCATGGCAACCAAGAGTTTCCATAGACATTATCACAGCTGTAAGCAAACTTGCAAGCAACAGAGACAAAGATGTTGAAAACGCACAGGTATGTGAGAGAGGTGATATTTGCCAAAGTCTTTGGAATTTCCCCAGATAAGCGATTCACGAGAAGAGAGCTGCATCGATCACTCCAATTATTTAGACCAAGGGTAATGAGATGCCAGTACGAGAGAGAATTATTAGAAGGATCTTACATTGAAGTCAACTGCATTGAAGCCCACTCCTGAGGTATTGTCCCATAGAGGTAGTTATAAGCGAAGTCACTACAAGAAAAAGGATAGTATTTATTCGTAAAGTACTATTTCAAAGTAAGTATTCCATGACCATATATCAACATATATCTGCAAGAAACATGATAGCACTTTTATCAAGGTCTCACATTTCTCTAAGGTGAGGAAGCTTAGCAACTTCAGGGGGAAGGCTTCCAGGGAGACTATAGCCCTTGAGAACTCTACAAAGCATCAAAACCAAAATTAGACAAACTCAAGTAACATCACACAAATAATAATCAAATAATAACAATTTCTACACAGACAATCAGCAGAAAGAGGTCCTTAAGGGCTATGCTATAAGCATGCAAAGAAAATCTGTTGTTGAATTTGCAAAGCACATCCATTGATTATACTCACCAGTGCTGCATATAAGCTGTTCTTTGAAAGGTTACAAAGAATTATACTTACTGTCTTGAATGTGTCTTAACCAATTAGCACGAAAAGTAAAACGAAGTATGAAAGAGTACACTTGAAAAGATACTAAACATATTTTAGGAAATTCTTGCTCAGATGGGCACCGTGAGCTCCTCTGTGTGTCTAAAATAATCTTCTAAAGTGTCATGTTTGGAATTGGATGTTATTATGGTATACGAATTTCAAACTCAATAGTAGCCTGGCAGTCCACTAAGCACGGTAACATTAGGTAGATGAATACAATCTAAACATTCTATATATTACTCTTCTTACAGAATTTTTAAAGAAAGTCAGCATCTTCTTGGTTCCTTTTGATGAATATTACAAAAAATAGCGGAAATTGACTCAATCCAACTATACATATTTTACCTAGTCTGCATGTATAAAAAAAATTCCAGCTGCAGAAAAGAGGTCCTTTTTTTCTCAAATCCATAACTGGTGAGGCTCTCATTTGAATCACAGTCTCAGCTTTCAAAGTCTTGCTATAACTAGTTTCCCAAGAAAAATTGAGGGCTCAACCTTTTCATGTTTTGTCATTTAATGCATAATGTTTATTCAGCCTCCTATTCTGTGTTTGCAATCAAGAATCTAAACATTCTCAATTCAGCCCGAAAAATTCACATTATTTACTGCCGTAAGTTACATCAACCCTTCTAAAGAGACTGTGGATTATACATACATAAAAAAAAAGGATTATTTTCTCCAGTGAAGGTGCAAAACTATGCATTAAATCTGAGTAATAAGCTGAGGGGTATATACATGCTTATGACATGACAGAGGGTATCATTTGGGATGTTGCATTCACAAGCAATGGTACTCTCAGCTCCTTCCGGTATTTCTGTTGTTACACCAACTTTTACAACTGCACAAGAATTGCCATCAAATTCCCAATACTTGGCCCCCATTTTAGCAGCAATCTGCTGAAGAGCATCCACTGAATCCCATTCAGAACCACGTAAAGAAGAAAAAACGCAAAAGATTAGTGTCATTGTAGAAACCTGAGTAGCCAATCAAATATGTAAGGATATTTGCCTGATATCATTAGCAAGAACAGGACAACTTAATGAAAAAGTACTAAGTATAACAAACAATCGTAACCCCAAACAAATCTTTGTAAATTTGCTTCCAAGTTCCTAGATTAAGTCTAGAAATTCTACTATGCAGACCCAAGAGGAGAACCCACTCCAACCAAGATCAATCCAAGAAACAGCAGAATCAGTATAATGGAAAGCAAAATAAGAATTGTGGACAATGTGAGGAAAGAGAGAACTAGATTTTTTTTTTTTTCTGTTCTTTTTTATTCTGTTGTATGTTACTGTACAGCAGATCTCATTGTGCTTCAAACCCACTAAAGAAAGGCTGAAAAAACACAAAATTCCATGGACAAAGATAGATGTAAAGCCAAGTTAGCTACTCCAAACCATCTTAAGAATGCAAAGCTCAGAAAAACTCACCACAAAACTTTCAATTAGCTCCAAAGTTCAAATCATTATGCAAACAAAATGAAGATTCTGCACTCACCTTCTTGGGGAGAAACCTTTGGTTCGGCCAATCTAAGCACCCCGAAGCAGCTCAAGGCAAAAATCAGGAGAGTGAAGGAGTTCTTTGCAACCATGATCAAGAGAAAAAACGTGGGTTTCAGCTAAAACTAAGACCCGGATAGCTGTTATCGCCTTGGACTTACGGTCTCAGAGTAATGTCAAAAGAAACAGCAAAACTGGTAAATGTGTAGCGCGTGAAGACGACAAGGGAGCGAAATCCATTTGCCTGATGTGAAAAGGAGGAATAGCTTTCAAGCACTCTCTCTCTCTCTCTCTCTCTCTCTCTCTATATATATCTCTGTGTGCATTATTTCACCTTTCTTGGCCTTGGAGATGCATGCTGACGCGTAGCCGCCGGTGGTGCCAAACGAACTCAGAAGTCAAGAGTCAACTTTCTATCTTTATCTCTGACCAAAAAAAAAAAAAAATTTCTTTCTTTATCATTTCGGTTTCAGAGGACAAAAATGTCAACCACCTGTAATTTTTCTTTTGTCAGATTATCTAATTTTCTGTTTTCTCTTTGTTTTGCCTCGTGACTTTTGTGGATGCGGAAGGTGTTAGCTCCAGCACGGACACCCTCCGGAGGCTTCCATATCGTGTCGGATACCGACACTCATCAAATACTTTTTACTTATTTATTTATTTATTTAAGGATTTGAATTAAATTAATTTAATTGAAATAATCATAAAAATGATTATTTCTTATGTATATATAAAAATATACACATAATATATAACGTGTCCCAATATGTCGGAATTCTCATTTTTTGAGAAATGACATGTCGGCGAGTCGTGTCGCGTCACGTGTCGCGTGTTGGTGTCGGTGCTACTTAGGTGTTAGCCAGTTAAAATTTGCAATTACTTGTGCTCGAGTTTTAGAGGATTTTTCCACAATTTTTTCTGGAATTTTGAACTTCTCAGTTCAGTGTAAGCTTCAAAACAATTAATTCAATTTTCAAATGCACAAGATTATATTTATAACATTATAATGTACTCGTGATAGAGTAATCAAACTTTTATGTTTTAATTACGCGTATAAATTCACCAAAATTACAATAACTAAGAAATATAGTCCTTACTTGATGTAAACTCTAGCTTAGAGTAGAATTTACTTGCTAATAAAGAAAAGAAAGTTCTAGCATAAAAAATTTGATCTAGCCTATTCCACCTTGAAAAGTCAAGCTGTCATGTGGTTACGCATGGTCAAACCTACTGACATATAGTCAATGCCGGAGTTAATAGCATGTTCGGTCCAGCACTCGCCGCTTCGCACTTCGCTTATGATATGAGGGGGACAGTTTTGCCACGCGCCACATATTGGACCAATAAGTTTTTACCATAATTTGCTATCTGCCAGTTTCCATCTCTTATCGGATTTAACTTTCAGTAATTTGAATCCGATAAGAGATGGTTGGAATTTAAATCCAGAGATTTTCAAGAGGATTAATTAGCCGGCGGAATTGATAGACACGATCACGGGGAATTTTATCGCTCATACAATTAAATCTTCTTTTTGTTAATGGTGAGATTTCCCAAAATAATGTCAGCTTTATATGTCGAAATTTCATTCTTCTGATTAAGCCAACAATTGATTTCATTTAGCTTCATATTTTCTTTCCAGTGCTTTAGGCTGGAAGCTAGCTGATATATCTTTTGACCTGCAAATTTAAAGAAATGTTGAGGTCGTCTTATCGATATTATCTAAGCACATGACAAATATGTTCATTATAGTTGATATAGTAAGCTGCTTATATTAGCAATCTAGTGAGTCAATCCAAGCTGCCCGCTAGGGATTGACTTACGAAATGCTACCTATTGGTCTTTGTGAGTACATTAGAGATCAAGATTTCACTACGTTGTTAATCTTATCATGATTCCTCCAAGATCTCAAGAGCTTCATGTTCTTCCTGATTTGTTAATCCTTTATCAAGGTCCATCCAGCTTCTAGATGTCTTTTTACTATGTACTTTGAATCCTTCTATATTGGCAAAACATTCCTCATGTCAACTTCACCCGAGCTTCTATTTTCTGGTCCTCCAAAGCATATCAACGATCATGGCTCTACCCAGCTATTCAGCTTTCCATGATCCTTCCAAGATTTACTGAACTCTCCGTTCTAGGCTTGTTCACACTTGATAGTAGCAGAGCACTTCTAGTCTTTAGATGATACTATTAGGATATCATCACCATATTGGCTTGTGCATCTCTTAGCTTATTCTACTTAACCAATACACATATTAGTAACATTTCATTATTTTGTCATCTTCAAAATATCATAAGCGATTTTTCTAACAATTTCCCCATTTTTATAATGACAAAATAATCTCTCAATATGTAGATATTTTAAAATATTTAATTTTGCGTGCGTGAATAGTAAAATAATTTTTTTGATTTTGCCAAAAATGGGAATTCAGATTAAGGCTTATTAAGCACGTAATGCAATCTCCAAATTTTAGGATATTCAATGAATATAAATAGGAGATAATCAAATAAATAATATGAGCAAAGAATAACATTATACGGCAGCAGCTCTTGCTTCAACGCAAATTATTTAGTGACATGAGTATTAAATAGGAATGAATTTTCATCATGTGAACTAAATAAGTTGAGCATGATAATAAATGGAAATATAATTGGAGCTTGATGTTTTTCTCCAAATAATGACTGAAATACAACCAACCAACTATATATGCATATTTATATTCCCCCCTTTTTGTCATAATCAAAAAGCAATAATAGAATAAAGGGTATCACATATAGATTATGCAATTCAGCTCATGTTCACACAACTTCTTTAGAAATATTAAGTGTGAAACACAATTTTCAGAAATTACATATTCTACATGCTTATGCAAACAGAAAAGATATGTAATGAAACTCATGTTTTGTGGCATAAAAAATCATCACCATCAGCGAATATATATCAAAGAACACATATGAATGTAATCATCCCAACTAACATTTCTCCCTTTGTCTACATGGATGCATATTGATTATCTTAACCCTTTTGGTCAAATTCAAAAATAATATCACAAAGAGATTTCGTCAATGACAAAAATTAAGGATCTAGAAAATGCTAATCATACTGTGTAGGACTTACCAAGTCCTACGCATACATTTATCTTTTCTTCCATCCTAAAATAATAATCAAGATTGAGGCCGAAATTAGCTCAAGTTTAAAGTTTATTAGATTTGTCCATACTCAATCAACGCTCCCGCTAATATCGTTACTGCTTTTGAGATGAACATGATTAATGGGGCAATAAAATTTGTTGATGTGGAGTCTTTTGGGTCCCGTCGGACTTGCTCGGACCTCCGAAGGATCGGATCTAACATCATACTGGAAAGTGTAAACGAATCCTCCGGGCTTAGCCTCGGGAGAATCCTTCGATGCTTAAGCAAATGGACGAAGAACGGGAACATAACCGCAATTTAATTGTGGGCAGAACCTTTTGGAAGGGGGGATCTCTCTTGCGGTCAATGCCCTCGTAGGGCGAACCGTTGCTAGGCCACATTAGAAGGGCTTGAGCCCGTGATTAGAAGCGAAAAGTTTTGCTAAACTAAAATATATATGGGATAATGATAGAAATATCCCGTGAACTTTAACTCAATATGCAATGTGATTCATGAACTTTCAATTTATTCAATGTGGTCCTTAAATTTTTGGTACATGTTCAACTTAGTCTCTGAATTACATGAAAATATTCAATATAGTCCGTGAACTTTTTCATGCAATTTAGGGACTAAATTGAACATGTACTAAAAGTCCAAGGGCTACATGAAACAAATTGAAAGTCTATGGACCACACTGCACTTTGGGTTAAAGCTTAGAAACCATATTAAACAAATTAAATGTCCATGAATCACATTGCACGTTTGGCTAAAGTTGATGTACCATTTGTATAATTTGACTAATATATATTTACAAAATTAAGCTATATTCAATATCCAACAAGTATTTGTCATTGTCGCACTGCTTAGTTTATGAATGTTGTAGATCTTCATACTAAGCATTTTTCTTCCAAGAATAGGACAATTGGAGTATTATTAAGTAGGTACACTAGTCATTTGATGAATTATTCAACTACACTTGGAAAAAAACGAACAAGGCATTAGAAGTCTTAAAATTTGTCACAAAAGTACAGTTGAGTCCTAAAACTTTCAAAAAAATGCAATCAAGTCCTAAAACATATCACGAAAGTGCAATCGAATCCTAAAAATTTCAAAAAGTGCAATTAAGTCCTAAAATTTGTCAAATTGATGCAATCAAGTCTTAAAACTTGTTACCATTTTCCGTTTATCAAGTTGGACGAAGTTAATGGAAGGACTTGATTTCACCAAATTGACAATTTTTAGGACTTAATTGCACTTCTTGAAATTTTTTTAGGACTTAATTACACTTTCATAACAAATTTTATTACTTCCAATACACTTATCCCTAGAAAAAAAAAATCTTAGAGGCCTTGAAATTGCAATGTATTTTAAGAATAAATGCATAAAACCAATGCCTTGTTCTAAAAAACTTCTAATGGTTCAAACTATCGTTGTGGAGTTGAATGCATACTACACCATGTGTCCTATGGTCCAATCGCTCTCTCTCCTTCTTTTTTTTTTTTTTTCCAATAATTTAGAGCCCATTTTGCTGACTTGGCATCAAATAGGCATCATATCAATGCCAGGTATCCTTGCAAATTTAGGAAAAAAAAGGCATCATAAGTGTCATAACTTTTATACGGCACTCACTTGAATGTAATAACTTTTTTGTTATAACACTCACTTAATTGCTATAACTTTTTTTTCCGATCACAAGTGACATATAACTTTTTAATTGCTCACTAAAGTATCATAACTTTTTAAAAACGTTCACCATAAGTATTATTCCGTGTCGGATTTCCGATACTTGGGTGAACGCTTTAAAAAAAAATTAAATGATTGATTCAAGTGATCGAAAAAAAAAAGAGTTATGACATTCAAGTGAGCGCCGTACGAAAATTATGACATTTATAATTATAGTATCATTATCCCTAAATTTAGGGCATCATGAAAGTTTCATTACAAAGAGAAAAGTGCCCCAAAACTCCCCATAAAGACTGGCTAATGACGGTTCTAAAAAGAATATTACTTTGGTGAAGGGACGTTCAAAGCATCGAAATGCTTTTGAGGTGACTTTGACCGCTTGGGGCTGCGTCGATTCATCGTCGAGTGATTGCATGCAATTTGCATACTTTGACAACGACGTGGGTGTCCCACAGGAGACAGAGACCTCATCACGAAGAATTGATAATTTTGGAGCTGGACTAGACCTTTGCTCCGACAAAAGAGCTGGTAGGGTCCAGGAGAAATTATTACACGCGTTTAGCATATCTATGTGCGGGGACGACCAAAAAGAATCGCTCGGATCAAAAACCATTCGGACAGGATCGAATCAAACTGATCGGTTCCGAGCGATCCTTGGGGGCATCGGTTTGATTCTCGATACGGTGAATTTCGACCAAGTTCTCGATTTCAAGTGTTAAACTGCCCATCCGAACCATCCGGACTTGATTGATTTTTTTATTTGAAGTTATTTTTTTTATTTCTGACAAATGTGAAAAATTCATAGTATCTTCATCGCGCTTTCACGCCTCTTTAGTCTTTCCCAAAACTAAAACAAAACCCTAATCCCTCTCACTCACGCCTTTTTCTTCCTCTGTTGATCTTCTTGCCCTCGCTTGACAAATCCACTGCGTTGCCTCGCTTTGTGGAGGAGGACACGTTCGCTTCCATCACTAACCGAACCTCTTAAGGCTACCTTCGTTCCTTCTTCCCTGATTGAACCCCGAAACCAAGAGAGAGGGAGGCTCAAGAGACAGAGTTGAGATCGAGAGCTACATGATAGGGATGGCGAGCAAGCTTGGAGTGAAGAGAGCATGGCAATGCGATTGTGCGGAAGTGGTGCTCTCAATGAGAGAGAGAAAGAGAGAGAGTTGGCATCCAATTTCAGGACCAGATGGTCCAGTTTTCGGTTCTAGAAATGGAGAACTGATCTCTCTAGCTCGATTCCTAGCTCCTGGGTAGGAACCGAACCATTTGGGAACTGATCACCATGTATATGGTCTCCATTGTGGCTCGGTCCACGAGTCACTTCCAGGTTTGTAGAGAGAGACAACATGTATATAAAACCCATTGAGATTCGTAATGAAGTGATGCGAGATAACATTTTTTTTTGTCTATCATACTCTAACTTTCAACTTACTCTCAGACTTTTGCCCTGTCTCCTTACAAAACGTGAGAGTTAAAATCCACATCTGAAAGTAAACGCCCCCATTCCTAGCCCCTCTAAGAAGGCGGGGAATCGAATTCCTCACCTCTCTTTTACTAAGTAGGAAGGGTGTCTATCGGGACAAACCCTAATGATTGATGCTAGATAACACTGATTTGAGAACTATTGTGTGTTTGCAAACAGCCTCATTCCAGGTGCCGATGTAAGGCCTTACGGCATCCCTAATGGTACTCTGAGTGGGTAGAGATTCTGAAATTAGAGTAAAAGATCTACTGTATCCAAATCAAGAGCTCCGCTCGGGCTCATTAATTTGGGGTTAGTCATACAGTGTTTATGGACACTTTATTAAGAGCTCAAGCAACGTCGTAAGTTGTCTAGATCGCTCAAAACTCCAAAATCCCACAATGAGCTTGAATCCGATATGCAATTGAAGTATATCAAAAACTTTCCGAGGCGTTCATGACGGTGCCAGGGGGGGTACCCGTTGTCGCCGGCCGTCGAGGGCCGTGCCGCTCGGCCCGGCCCGGCCCAATCCCTCCCCGCCTCTCCCTTCTCTCTTCTTACCCCTCTCCTTCAAGCCCGGCAGCCCGGCCCGGGGATATTCGGGCCCCAAAACAGTCGGGCCGGACCCGAGCTTTTGGGTGTTTTCGGACTTTTTACCTCCTCCTCCGCTCCTTTCACATTTCCAGGACTCCCCGGACCCAGAAGCCACGTGGCGCTCCCCCCTCTCGCCACGTGCCTCCCGGCAAAACCTTCCCCTTCCTTTCGTTCCCAATCCGGAAGCGCGCCGAGAAACGCAGGATGTTGACGAAACCCTAGCCGCCCGATTCGCCTCGCTTCTCCATGGGCTCGCCCAATTCCGGCGACGAAGACGACGACGACGGCGCCGTCTTCCACGATGCCTCCGACGACTTCTCGTTCTACGATTGCCCGCCTCCCGACGGCCCCGCCGCCTCTCCTCTCGACGGACCGGGGCCAGAGCCCTCGCCGGCGATCCCCTCCGGCCTCCGGCGCCGGAATTCGGGTCGGGTCCCCGCCGGAGGGGCGGCCGAGGCGGAATCGGGCTTCGCCGCCCGCTCCGGGGAGAAGAGGTTCCGGCTCCATCGCGATTTGAAGGGAGGCGAGGGTCCTATCGAGCGGGCGCGCTCGGATGTGGACGGGATGGGCTCGATTTCGGTTCCGGACATTGCTTGGCGCGATAAGGGCGAGGATTCCACCGTAACAACGTCGAACGATGCTGGAGTCGTCGGCGACTCGGCGGAGTCGATCGCGACTCCGTTCGAGGCCTGTAATGGCGGGAGCGAGCGGAAGGACGACGTGTCTGCAGCGAGCACGGTGGTTGATGAACGAGTCGGCGACTCGGCTGACTCGCCGGCTGCGCTCGGCGAAACCGCCTCTTCGGGTTTGCTCTTATCTATGGCGGGACTGCTAATTAAGGCGATTGGATTCCAAATTAACTTGTTAGTTAGCTTTTTCACATTCCCATTTTGGTGTTTTCGTGCATTTTACGCGGTCGTCTTCGACCCCTATGCGACAATAAGGCGAGGCGGGGAGTTTATAACTGGGAAGTTATCGGGCATATGGAATTCGGTATGCGATAATATGAGTCCTTTTGTACATGAATGGTTCAAGGACAATAAGTCATTTTGGAAGCTCGTGCTGCGATGCGGGTGGGGGCTCTTTTGGTCGGTTTATGTTTGTTTCATCTTGTTCGGTTTACTCGTGTCTGCTGCTCTGATCAGTGGCCTTGTAATGAGGTTTCTGGTGAAGGAGCCAATCAGGATAGAGGAGAAATTGAATTTTGATTACACGAAACACAGCCCGGCTGCTTATGTACCGATAAGTTCTTGTGCCGGTGTGGAATGCGGTATCAAGTGTGGTGAGATTATTGATGCGGGGAAGAGTGGGAGATCGCGGGTTATTCCTCCTCATCACAAGCTGGAAGCAACCGTGTCTTTGACATTGCCAGAGTCTGAGTACAACAGATATTTAGGTGTCTTTCAGGTAACTTTCTTATTGCTGTCGAATTGGGTCCAGTTTGATTGGCTTGAAATGTTGTGTTATGCTTTGTCTGTTCATAGTGTGATGCGATTTATATGTGTGCTATGTAGCGAATGGGTATATGTTTTATAGAACTTAATCTGCTCAGGCGCCGAAATGTCAGTCTTGTTTAAGGTAGATGTGTGCCTTTCCAAGTGCGCTATGTATTTATTTGCCTTAGCCCTTTCCTTTCTATATACTGACCGTAGAGAGCATCATCTTCAAGAGTTGCTATTGCTTCTTCTCAGTTAGCACTGGAATCTGCAATTCTAGATCTTTGCCAGATTCTTGGGAACTTTCACTTATCCTAGTTCTGAGGGTTCTTTGCAAGGCGTCTGATTCACCAATAGTAGCATCCTGGGATTTTGTAGCGTGACAAGCTTTTTTTTTTTTTTTTTATGATTGATGTGGAAACTATAGCGAAATTAAAATTGAGAAGAATGAAGAACACCCAAATTTATGTGGAAAACCCTTACGGGAAAAACCACGGGAAGAGGAGAAGCAAAATCCATTATAGTGATTCAAGGATTACAAAAGGTGGCTCAAAAATCTAAGACTCTTTCTGTCTTAACTTCTTAACCCAATAACTTGAAAAAAACAATATTTATATTGCCCCGAAGCCCTAAAGTTGGCCTAAGCCAATAGAGAATTTAAGACATACTCAACATATTTAGTGGGGGTTCAGTTCACGACCCATATGCTTTTAGCCTAGGCTAGTGTTGCCTTTTCATGTGAAAAGATTTACTTGTAGTAGTGATAAACTTGTTGGTAGTTTCTGGTCTACCAGAAGTGCACGAGTTATCAAGTGTTGTTTCTTCCTCCGAAATAGTTGTAGTTACCCTGCAAGTATTGCTATCTATCCCACTTGAGCAGAGGCTCAAGCAAATTTGACATTATCATTGCTATGTCTATATTATTTACTCTTATGTTATGTATATGTATGAGCTTTTTCTTCTTTCTTGTTTCGCACAAATAGTATTGTTTTGCTGCTCATCTTTTCTCCTTTATTTTTGGTCTAACTTTGTAGGTTACAACCAAAGTAATAAAATAACCACTTATCTTGAAGACTGACTTCCAAATCCTTAATTTTTGTTAGGTCAGGGTTGATCTGCTGTCCGCTGATGGTGAAGTACTTTCAAGTTTGAGCCGTCCGTGTATGCTGCTCTTCAAAAGCGAGCCTATCCGCCTTCTCTTAACTTTCCTTAAAGTAGTTCCGCTGATTGCTGGCTATGGATCGGAATCTGAAACCATTCACGTGAAGTTTCAAGGTTTTATTGAAGGCGATGTACCCACTGCCTGCTTAAAGGTGGTCCTTGCACAACGGGCAGAATTCCTTCCAGGAGCTGGCATCCCTGAAATATATGACGCATCGCTAACCCTGGAGTCCGAGCTTCCTCTTTTAAGAAGGATCCTATGGTATTGGAAGAGGACCATATTTATCTGGATTAGCATGGTTATGTTTACTGTGGAGTTACTTTTTACTCTAATCTGCTGCAATCCCATCCTTATACCACGAACAAGGTGGAGCGCTGATTCTGCTAGGAGTGATGCTCGGAATGCTTTCCCCTCACAGTGATGGTTTGGAACTTTGGCCTGCAGATAGATGATACAAAGGTAACATCTAATTTTTGGCATCTGCACTTTTGTCCTCCGTTGAAAGAAATGATTCGTCTGCGTTTTGAGTGCCTCCCTCTGCAAAGTGGGGGAACAGCGACCAAGCCGGGCCAAACTCGTGGGGGTCTGGACAAAGTTGTAAGGCCATTTAAAACATGTTTTTAAACTGATAAATGAGACATTTGTAATGTACTCCTGCTCATTCTTTGATTCTTTTTCTCCTCTTTAGTTGAATAGTAAATATAATGCCTGTGCTCGAGTATATGTTGGCAAAGAGTATTCGGCTTTGTTACTTGTTGCCTATGTCGCTTTTAGATGTGCGTACAATTTTCAATACATGTTGGCTTGTTGCTGTTTTTGAGGACTGAAGAGCTTCAAGTTATCTTTAAACAGTGGGTTTAAGTTTGGTGGAGCTGATAAGGAAGCACATGGAAAGTAAATCTGTTTAAGCACTGTGCAAAGTTCGAGAGGTGAGGATTAAGCAATGATATTGCTACAAGTTCATCCCTATTAATTTGGCTCCATTCTAACCACTGAATGTCATAAGTGGCCGTCAGTCGCCACGATCGCTACTGCTGTCTACTGCTGTTCGGCTGCTGTTGGCGCCAATGACATGTACTGTGGATATTCCGCAAGAACTTTCTTCCTAGGGTTGGGAGAGTGTGACTTGTGGGATGAAACTGATGAATAAAGGCACGGAAAGGGAATACTCAAAGGTTCAATATGCCCTTATGGCAATTAACTATTTGGACAGTCTCTTCCTGGATACCAATCATTATTGTCATTCATCTGCTGTCACCATATGTGAATCAACTGTGGCTTTTCTTATTTTCACAAGACCGGCAAAGACATATTGTTCATGCTTCAGAACCAACAAGGAGATGTTTATGGTACAATGCTCGAGTTTAAACCGGTTTTATACATATCGATTACATGAACAAACAGGCTTGTGCTCTGGGATTGAAGTAGGCTAAGTCGATGAGGTCCACCATGGATTTGGAATCAATGGGCTTGAGTTCATCAGAAGAGGTTGGCATTAGTATCAGTCTAAATTGGTTATTTCGTAAGGCCTTACTTACCATAAGAGTTTATCAACACTGTGCTCGTACAAATTGGATTAAGAAATCATCAAGTTACATACATATAGCATATCTATTTTCTTTGAACCTCATCTTTAGGTATTTCATTTTGCATTTGATTCGGTTCTCGTGAATAATTGTAAATCTATGTAATAATGTATACAAGGGTTTAATTCACATATCCAATATTTTGTTCCCCTTGCTTTACATCAAAATTATTGAGGCAACTCGTGTAATTGTGCCGTGTCAAATTTAGGTATGATATGAACATATATGTTGGTTAATCATATCACAACTTTGAAACCCAAACGCGATACTTCTATTCAGCAGTTTATAGAACACAACGCTAAAGACTATAACCTTATGAAAAAAAAATGTATAACCGTGTCTAGAGGTGTTTAAAGATATCTAATTTATCTAAACGCGTCGTATTTATACAAATAACATGCTAACATTAATAATTAATTGTGTAAGAAGAAGGTCATTAAAAGTGCCAAAAGTTGTGTACGGCCCTCACTTTAGTGCCAAAAGTTCTCGTCGGCTCACTTAAGTGTCAAATCGGAGAAAAAACAATCAAGTAAGTGCCAACAGCGAGAAATTTCGGCCAAAATAATTACGTGGCTTTCATAATTAAAAAAAAATAAGCTGAGTTGGCGTATTTGTTAAAAAAATCCAGTCCACGTGGAATTTTGCCCCCTCTCACTATAGAGTCTCGCTCTCTCTCTCTCTCGCTTTGTTTGTGTTTTTCGGCTCCATCCTCAAGATCATCACTAACCTCTCTCTCTCTCTCAATCCCTCATTCTAGGCTTGATTCGCTTCCAGCTCCTTCTTCCTACTTCAATTCAGTAGATTTCACAGTGCGATTGCTTATTCGCCCCCCAATCCCAATGCCTGGGGGTCGTCTTTCGCCAATCGCTATGGTTTGTCGAACTTTGCCGGCTTCGGAGATATGCTAGATCTTACTGAGATTTGACGCGAATGCCAGATCTGGGTGAAAAAGGTTAGTGGTTGCACTGATCGGGACTTCATGCGAGACCATCTTGTTGAGATCTCGAAATTCTTGCGTTGGGTAGGAGACTGAAATCGCTCGATTTGGTTCGCTATTGTTGTAGGGGTTGATGGATTGTTTCGACAAAGCTTCGATGGAGGGGAAGAAGATATGCGCCGATTAGCTCTTGCCTTTTTTGTTTCTCGTTTAGGGTTTTTTTTTGAATTTTATTGCTTTGCAGTGAAGTAATGATCTTGGGGGATATGTGGGTTTTGGTGCAGAGGTGGAAAAACCATCATCATCTGTCTTCAAAGACGATCACAAATCGATGGTATTCGGTGCAGAGGTTGAAGAGCCATTGTCCGTCGTTGAAGACAATAACGATCTCCACGATGATCATGCCGTTCCTCAGTTCTCGGTGATTACTGAATTCGACTCTGCTCTGGATACTGTCTTCTCAGTTTCTCCCTGCATTGGTTTATTTGCTAATTTGTCTGCGATTCTGAGGTTGCTCCAATGCGTGTTTCTAACTTCATCTCTTTCATAAACCGGTGTCTCTTATTGCTTTCGAAGAAGAAAATTTACGCCTTTGATTTTTTTTTTTTTTTTTGGAATTATGCTAGCTTAGGTTGGCTAATAGTCCATTTCACAATTAAGGAAGCTTTATAAGCAATTTCTTTTTTGAGCTCTTTTTCCTTTCTACTGATATGGAGTTTCATTGGCCTACGACGGGCTTTTGATTTGTCATGTTATTGTTAGTTCTATACTTGTAACCGAGGCCTCTGTTAGTTTTGGCCTAAAAGGGGACAAAAAGCCCTATGGAGTTGTCTTTGGCAATATTTCATCCAGAAGGGGAGATAATACTTTGTTTAATCCCTTTTGATATAGTACATTTGGGATTTTGTGGGAGACTTGCAGAAGAAAAGATCACGAGGAAGGTCAACATGGAGGGAAAATGCATTCAAAAAGTTTTGTCTCAAGACTTGAATGATTTTGACACTAGTGAAGCTCCCCTTGAGGTTGAGTTTGTCAATGTGATGGAGAATGATAAGCCAGCAAAGATTACTTCACCACTCAATAGTTATTTTGATTTTGACGTAGCTTGTAATTAATCTGTGCTTTGGTCCTGCAATCTTTGTGCAATTTCTTTTTTGAGCTCTTTTTCCTTTCTACTGATATGGAGTTTCATTGGCCTACGATGGGCTTTTGATTTGTCATGTTATTGTTAGTTCTATACTTGTAACCAAGGCCTCTGTTAGTTTTGGCCTAAAAGGGGGCAAAAAGCCCTATGGAGTTGTCTTTGGCAACGATTCCATCCAGAAGTGGATATAATATTTTGTTTAATCCCTTTTAATATAGTACATTTGGGATTTTGTGGGAGACTTGCAGAAGAAAAGATCACGAGGAAGGTCAACATGGAGGGAAAATGCATATAAAAAGTATTGTCTCAAGAATTGAATGATTCTGACACTAGTGAAACTCCCCTTGAGGTTGAGTTTGTCAATGTGATGGAGAATGATAAGCCAGCAAAGATTACTTCACCACTCAATAGTTGTTTTGATTTTGACACAGCTTGTGATCGATCTGTGCTTTGGTCCTATAGTCTCTGTGCAATGCATGCAGGATCAAGAGCAGGAGGAAGAGGCGGGCTGTGATGAACAAGATCGGAGTGGAGATTACGAAGGCGAAGCGCAGCAACAGCATCAACGGCGGTTCCTTGAAGCGGAGGGTCTTGACCCGAGGAAGAGAAGTGTTGATGCAGAGACCGTCATCCTACTTAAGCGAAGTAGAGTCGCACTTGAAGTGAAAAGCGGTCTTTAGCGAGGAAAGCCTAAGCCTATTATTAGGTGTTGAGTTGAATGTTTTTGTTTGTAGGAAGCCAACCCCTGGATGTTGGAATGTTCTAGTTGGTTATTTTAATTGACCAAATGTAAAAACTAAGTTTAATATCAATGGACTTTATTTTGTCTATGCTTTTGCCATTTCCATATATTGCTTTTGGTTGTGCTAGTGTGCTAGTTTTGCTGGCTGTGCTAACACCAACTGTATGTGCTGGTGCAAGCACAAGATGCACCAACTATGCATTGTTGGTGCAAAGTTAGTGCTGGTGCATCTTGTGGTTGCACCAGCTATGTGCTTGCGGTATCTAAAATCAGTATTTAGAAAAATAATATCGTCACCAATCATCAAATAATAACTTAGATTTTTAGTGATTTACGAATAGGTTTCGTGGACCCTTATCCAGAACAAGGCAGGAAAGAGAGGAGTGAAATTACCTTGTCGAGGAGGGGTTTTTAGTTGTGTTTATTGGTCGAGCTACATGAGGTGGTACAACTAGTTGCTGCTGGTTTGTGCTTGCACCAGCACGTGTTTGTGCAGCTGATGCAAAGCACAAAATTGCACTAGCGCTTGTTTGGGCAATTGCTTAGCACTGAAATGATCACTTTTTAACAACGATTGGCACTGAAGTGATCACTTTTAAAAAAAATTGACACTCAAACGATCATTATTTACAACTTTTAAACGACGTTGTTTAGAGGCTATATGCTGACTGGACACGCCGGCAAGCCACGTAGGACTGAGAAATTAATAAAAAATAGCCACGTCGGATTTCTGGCAACCCAAATCGGAGTTGACACTTAAGTGATCCGAAAAAAAATTTTGGTACTAAAGTGAGCGCTGTACACAACTTTTGGCACTTCTACTGTCCTTCTTCCTAATTGTGTATAAGCGTATCATATTAGAAAGGATTGAAGGGGTCAATCAATGCATATTTGTATACAAACAAGTTGACCCTTTTATGAGTGAATCTGTTTACACTTGAATATCAACACGCTTAATTATGTTTAATCTATATGGCATGTAAACAGATCATTTATCAACCTAGGTTGGTTACATTAGTAAAATGAGAGACTTTGCACACCAAAGAGCTTTATATCTCGAGTACAATTCTCTGTGCAACTTTTAATATCTGCTCTAGGATGTGAGAAAGTGATTCTTGACAATTCCACAAATCTTCATAAGTGCTTGAACGTTTGCTCGTTTTGCAATCGGTACTCAAATTGTTTTCCGTTCAAACCGAGTATCTTAACTTTTTAAATTGCGCTTGCTATGAGGCCTCCTTCGAATCAAACTGATGCGACTCTCTTACACAGCTAAATTTACGTGTTGGTATGCCAACTCAAGAAATATTATTTCCCTTTCCTTTTACTTTCTTCTTCTTCTTGGTCTTCCTTCTCCATTGCATAGTCGCCACAGGATGCCATTGCCACTGCAAGGTCAAGCTTGGGCTCATCGTTACAGTCCACAATGTTTGGTGTCATATCCACGGCCCACCGGGCCATCAATGTCATCTCGGTCTCAGCTCGTGACTCTTTCTCTCTTCTCAATAGAGGTCTCATGACCTAAACTTTGGGAGGCAAGTCCTACAATCTAATGCATGCAACCCCGTGTAATCACACAAACTCAGCTTTACTTAAAATGCTTCTCATGCAATTGCTTCCAGATTCACTGTTAGGAGCGGGCAGCAAAAGTCCGATACCTTAGCTCGAGGAGATGCTAAGAGGTAGTCCGAGTCCGAGCCCGAGCCTGTTAGAATATCTAGTTAGACTCACCTTCAATCAAAAGCTTAAATTAATGAGGTATGGGTTAATTAAGATATATTAACTGCTTCACACCACATCAATTCTCAAATGTGGGATCTCTTTAACACAATTCACACGTGCATCATTCTACATCAACTTATCTCCATCTAAATTTCCAACGCTCACTTTCATCCATGGTCTCTTTCTTTGGACCGAACATTGAAGGCTGTGATTGGGATCGCGTTCCTACACCATAACACCCACCTGCCCGGAAATCGTGTTGGTCATTAGATTCATTCCTTGAGATACTCATCAAACACTGATGTTAGATGTACGAAGGGTAAAGGGTAAAGTGATCCTTTAGGACCTTTTAGGGTTTATTTTGATATATATATTAAACTTTACTGAATAATACAATTATTAGTTCCTCTAACATGGTATCAGAGCTTAGGGCTTCACCCTAGTCGATAGAGCAGCCACTCGCCGCCGTCAACCACTCGCCGGAACAGTCACCAATTGCTGACATGGCTTGTCTCTGTCACGCATCCCTCTCTCGTGCGAATTCCTTCCTCGCGTGATTCTGAGTTGCGCAACTAGGCGTGCGACTCTTCTTCCTCGCGCAACAAAGCACACGGCTTCCTCGCGAGGCTCACAGGACTCGCGTGGCTCCCTCGCGTGACTCGCGCAGCTCGCTAGGTCGCTGGTTTGGGTCACTGGGTTGCTAAGTCACCTCCCGTGGCTCGCTAGGTTGCTAATCTTGGTCGCTGAGTTACTAGGTCATTACACAATTGAAGGATTTGGCCATCGGTAGGTCTTGAATGATGACTTGAGTCATCAGATTTGGTCACCATATTTGATGAGTTGCTGTTTGGTCATCAGACTTGGTCGCTTCTTGATATAGTTAATATATTTATTTTTGCATCTTGAGGATGTCTTCAGGTATTGGTATTTGCTGATTAATGCAGATATATGGGTTGGTTTTGACATATTTGGTGATGTTTGTGGGTTGTGGATATTCTTTTGTTTGGTAATATTGAGTTATTGAATTGTTGAGGCTGAGTTGTCTGAGGGAAACTATTGTGAGAATTTTCTTATTATTTGGGAATGACTGATCCGACAAAGAGTAAAATTGAGGATGATCATGAGAAGAATAGTTCTGTGATGACTGAGTTGATTTCCTTTTCGTCTAATTGTATTACTGATAAGAAGCTTGAGGGTAGTTCTAACTTTCATCAATGGAAGAAGATTGTGAAATTTACTTTGATAGGCAGGAATTAACATAGACACTTAACTGAGTCTAAAGCCAGAGATGATGCAACTTGGGATGTTATTGATGCTCATATTCTTGTTCAGATGTTAAGCTCTATGGAGAATAATATAGTCGATCTAGTAACTCATATTGATACAGTTAGAGAACTTTGGGAGTATTTGAATGTGTTATATTCTGGCCAAAATAACCTGTCACAGATTTATGAGCTATCGCAGGAGTTTTATCGATATAAAAGGAAGGGACATTCTATTACACAGTAATTTGCTGATTTTAAGAGAATGTATGAGGAGTTGAATGTTGTTCTCCCTATTTCGGCCAATGTTCAGCAAATACAGCTTCAGAGAGAATAATTGGCTGTAATGGGATTCCTAGGAGGCATTGGTCCTGAATATGAAACCATTTGGTCTCAGATTCTTGGAGGAGAGATTATTACATCACTCACAGATACGTTTGCTTGGGTTCTTCGGGTATCTCGCGAGTCTTCTCAAGATACTACACCTATAATAGATAATGCAACTCTTGTGTCCCAGACTCGAACTGATAGTGGTAGTAGGAGTGATGGAGAAAACCGTGGAGGATATAGTGGACGTGGTGGCTGAGGGGGAGGTCGAGCCACAGGAATAGGGAGAGGCCAAGGCCAACAGCATCTTTATGGACAATCCCACATGTCTACCGATAATTCAGGGGCCACACGAACTTGTCATTACTGTGGTAAACCTGGTCATATTCAGAAATTTTGTTATAAGTTACATGGGAGACCAGGGCAGCAAAACTAGTTTGCAAATACTACTTCTAGTACTAACCCTTCTCCATAGTCTTCCGAAGGCAAGGTAGTGGTTATGTCTGATGAGGAATTTGCTCGGTACAACCGGTTTTAGATTTCACAGCCTGCTTCTTACGAGAAGCAACTGAAAGGCATGTAGTAGCATTACCTGTCTGTACCAAAGTAGTGGTGGAAGAAGCATTAAAGGCTCTCGAGGTTAATCAAACTTGAGACTTTGTACCTCTTCCTTCAGGCAAAACTGCTATTGGTCGTCGATGGGTATATGCTGTAAAAGTCAATCCTGATGGTTTCCTTGCTCGTTTAAAAGCAAGACTTGTTGCCAAAAGGTATGCTCAAGTTTATGGGATTGACTATCATGATATTTTTTCTCTTGTTGCCAAACTTACTTCTGTTCGTATTTTGATATCTCTTACTGCTACATATAATTGGCCCTTGTTTCAACTTGATGTCAAGAATGCTTTATTGCATGGTACTCTTCATGAAGAAGTTTATATGGAGCAACCTCCAGGGTTCGTTCTTGAGGGGGAGTCTGGAGGACTAGTTTGCAAATTAAAAAAATCTTTATATGGTTTGAAGCAATCCCCACGGGCGTGGTTTGGAAGATTTTCTGAGGCTGTACTTTCTTTTGGACTATTTAGATGTGGAAATGATCATTCTTTCTTTTATAAATAGTCAGGGGGAGGCAAACTGTTCTTGATTGTGTATGTTGATGATATTATCATCATGGGAGATGACTTGGTCAGTATAGTTGAACTCATGACCTATCTTCAGCAATGGTTTCAAACTAAGGACTTGGGAAAGTTGAAGTATTTCCTAGGAATTGAGGTGGCACAATCACATAAAGGTATTGTTCTATCACAGCGGAAGTATGTTCTGGATATGCTCACCGAGACAGGTATGTTGAGATCAAAGCTTCTTGATTCACCAATGGAACAAGCGGTCTAGTTGGTTGCTAAGAGAGGAGAGTTTCTTGATAATCCCGAGAGATATAGAAAATTGGTAGGTAAGCTGAATTATCTCATAGTTACTCGATCAGACATTGCCTTTTCAGTTAGTGTGGTAAGCCAGATTTTGCCTCATCCTCGTACATCTCACTGGGATGCAGTTATTCGGAAATTGAGGTACTTGAAGAAGATACCAGCAAAAGGAATTGTTTACCAAAATCATGTTCATGGCAAAGTTGAAGGATTCTCTTATGCTGATTAGGCAGGATCTCTAGATGATAAGAGATCAACCACTGGTTATTGTACCTTGGTTGGAGGAAATTTGGTATCATGGAAGAGTAAGAAACAGAGTGTTGTTGCCCGCTCCAATACCGAGTCAGAATATAGAACCATGTCACAAGTGACATGTGAATTAGTGTGGATTCAACAGTTATTGACTGAGTTAGGCTTTAAAGCTTCAGTATCCATGAATCTATGGTGTGATAATAAAGCTGCGGTACATATAGCTTCAAACCCTGTGTTTCATAAGAGAACAAAACACATTGAAGTTGATTGTCATTTTATCCGAGATTGCAGAGTGGAGTAATCCTTCCCTGTCATATTCGAGCTGTTGAACAACTTGTGGATATCTTTACTAAACCTTTGGGTAATGGGAAGGTAGATTATATTTGTAACAAGCTGGGCATGATTAATCTTGATACTCCAGCTTGAGGGGGAGTGTTAGCAGTATGAAGGGTAAAGGGTAAAGTGGTCCTTTAGGACCTTTTAGGGTTTATTTTGATGTATATAAAACTTTACTGAATAATACAAATATTAGTTCCTCTAACAACCGAAATAAATAGGGAGACCCACCAATCTACCATCGGCTCTAATACCATTTGTTAAGAGCACGCAGCATAAAGCCAATACTTTTAGCTCGGGGAGATTGCCTTGAGAGAGTCCAAATTCGAGCCTGTCAACCTATTCAATGAGATCCACCTTCACTCAAAAGCTTAAGCCAATGACTTATGAACTGCTCTACATCATAACAATTCTCTGATGTAACACTACAAAAAAACATCTTTTTCCAACGAAATTTCCAACGAAAAAAAATTCGTCGGTAATTCTTCGCAAATTTTTCCAACGAAAAATTTCAATTTTCGTTGGAAATTTGCGACGAAATTTTTTCGTTGGAAAATTCGTGGCTAAATTCGTTGGAAACACTACAAAAAAAAACTTTTTCCAACGAAAAATTTGGAAATCCAACAAAATTTTTTTGGTCGAAAAATCGTGGCAAAATTAGTTTCGTTATTAAACTTTAATACCATTTGGTGGGCATGGAGCAGGCGTCGATCGTGGAGAGAGAGAGAGAGAGAGAGAGAGAGAGAGAGAGAGAGAGAGAGAGAGAGAGAGAGAGAGAGAGAGAGAGAGAGAGAGAGAGAGAAAGTGGAAATTGAGAATCGTTGCGGGAATAATGAGCGCGAAAATGTTGAATAAGGAAGGAGTAGGGTTTTCGTTGCAAAATTCGTGGGAAATTTCCCACGAATTTTGCAACGAAAATTGTACACACTAAAATAATTGCGTGGAAAATTGAAATTTGTGGGAAAATTCGTTGGAAATTTCCAACGAATTTAAAAAATGCCGAACAATACCGGGTTTTTTGAATTCGTCGCAAAATTCGTTGGAAATTTCCAACGAAAAATTTTTCGTCGCTAATTTCCAACGAATTTTGCGACGAAAAATTTTTCGTTGGAAACTTTTACTTTTCGTTGGAAATTTCGAACGAATTTTACTTTTCGTAGGAAAATTTGTCACAAATTTGCGACGAAAATTTTTTCGTGGCAAAAATCCTGTTTTTTTGTAGTGTAAGATTTTCTTAACACAACTCACACGTGCATCGCAATATTCATCATGCTATCGCATAATGTTTTCGATGCTGGCTCCTGTATTTACAACACTTGTGTAACAACATTACATACTTAGAATGATTTTGTTATCTTTAAGACATGTATGTAAAATTGTAGAGGGCATAAAGGAGATTTCTCGACAGAGATTTTGTGTTGCGGGTGGAGAGGCAGATCTACGGAGGCCAAACAATGGGAGATGATTGTGTTCATCGGCTACGATGGTGGCTATGGTAATTGTACAGAAGAATATACAAATTTTGTTACTGTATATATTTATTTTGGAATCTATGTATCTCGTCCTCCTCAACATGGATTTTACCAAATTCCTTAACTCGTCCTCCGGAAGTTAAAACTATGTACTATTCATAATGTTCGCGGGGGGAAAAGATAGTACATAGGACCGTAGATTGCATAGTAAGGATCATGTTTTGCTTCAACTCTGATTAGAAGAAACTTCCTCCGATCATGTATTTAATTGATGCATTACAAGTTACGGACATCGCTCACACCAAACTTAACGAGATAAATCATTATGGTAACCGTAAGTGGTAACCCACCAATAAGAGGCAAGGTTGGAGGAAGTTTTCCAACCGCTAGGATGATTGTTTTAGCCCTACTCATCCATTTCAGCTAGAATTCCTCCTCCATAAATTCTCTTCTTAACCCCTTTCCTTTCTTCCTTCTAGGCTTCTACAACATTGTATATTCTTTGCCCTACTTGTCTATTCATAGTGCATGCCAGTACATCTTCTATTCTTAAATCTTACCTTGGTTAACAATGATCCAACGTGCAATCATTGGACAATATATCAATATATGTGCTACTGTGCCTCACGGCTACGATTATGCTATGCATATTTTCCATCCTCTCTGGGGTGAATCTTCTTCTCTGTCTCTTGTGAGCAAAACACTGCGAAAGCATAGGGCTGGAAAATGCCATGAAAGGTGGCACCTTCTCAGCACCAAATCCCGCAGTTACCACTGAAAAGAAAAATTCTCAATCTTTGGACGGGATGTTGGACTAGTATAAGGCAATATTATTTTATCAATATGATAAGGTTCTTTTTACTAATTTTTGAAGCGAGCGTTAAGTAATCAAATGAAGAAGATTTTCGATTTCAAAAACATGGTTTGACTCGGGTACATTGACTGTTGATTAATTCAGACAGACGACTTCTAAAAGAGTGTTAGATTTGTGACGATGAATTGGTCTTCACAACCACGATCAAGAGATGTACGGTTCGATTCCGCACCCCTTCACCTCTCCCGATCGCACCCGCCATGGAGGATTACTTCTTAATCAAATTGGGCAATGCCGAGAAGTTCTATAGACCCAGGGACCTCTATAGGTATGGATTGCTCCTCTGGTTTTAGGGGCCACGCGCGGTGGGAGCTCTACTCGATGAACATGGACGGGCCAATTAGCATGCATCCGCGGAACTAGTCGAGCTGATAGCTTGGGATTGCTCATCTTATCAAAATAAGTAAGTTTAACAAATAAATGATCATGGTGGTCGCTAGTCATACAAGAAGTAAAAGAGTTTTACGAAAGTGACAATTCGTGGGACTAGAAAGCAGATCTGATTTGGGACATCAAAGGGCAACATGCTAGTAAGGGACCAAGATTTCAAAGGTTGTCCATAATAGCCGGCGGAGGCTTTAAAACGGCAAGTCGCATCCTGTTTTTTATACAATCAAGGATGTTTCATAATGTTAAACCGTGTAAGATCTGTTACATTCCCATTCCGAACACGAAAAGTGCCAGAATTGCATGACATTGACAAACCGTTTTATTTTTCTCTCTCCCTCGCTCCCTCTCTCTCTCCCTCTATCTCCTCTCTCATCAGTTGGAGCTGCTTCTCCCGCCGTTTCTCAGGAACGAGCCGCTCTGCACGACCTCGCGCAAAGGCTTGTCAGTGAACCGGATGATGTTGTAGACAGCAGCCCCCGATATCGCGCCCATGGTCGGGGCGAGTAGGTATATCCATATCCCTCTGTATTCGTTAGACACGATCGCCGGCCCCAAGCTTCTCACCGGGTTCATTGACGCTCCAGTAACCGGCCTAATAAACGAGAGAACACAATTCAATGGTCAATGTTCTCAGTTTTCTTCCAAGGTTGCTTTCTTGCTCAAAGAAAGCTCTGAAACAGAAACAAGACTGAAATATAAATGCTTTCATCTTGACCACTTTGGTTTAAATCGAAGATCTATATTTGTCACCATCTTGTGTAGACTAATGTGGACACGAATAAGCATCATCAAGACCTTTTGGAATGAGTTAAAACTATAGAAAAGACAAGTTAAATTTTACCCAGTAAACATCACATTGAGCAATATAGTTGCACCCACAGCAAGACCAGCAAGCTCTCCAATCTGAACAAATCAAACACAGAATGATTAAAGAATGGCATAATGGTTATTCATATAACGGATAATTGTCGCTATTGGATTAAACTACAGGATCAAGTCCATACCATAAACAGTCCATCAAGATAAGATTTCTTCATAAGAATATAATTGGGTATGTTTATTATGATGATTAATGTGATCACACATGATGAACAGCAACTTTTTTTTTTCCTAATTTGTATTTCAGATAATAGAGCCCAGTTCTTTATCAGAATTACAGATGTGGAACTTAGCCAAAAGAAGAAAAAGATACCAACACAGGAAGAGAAACTCACAGCTCTATTATCAGTGGCAACACCACAGATGACAAACATGAGGTAGAAAGTTATGATGAACTCGATCACGAAGGCTTGCAGATCTGACCCGGAAGGCTCTGTCCCAGCGAATTGTTTGTGGCTCCCCGTGAACAACAACCGGAGTGTCCCGGCCGCGAGGGTTGACCCGATTAGTTGTGCCGATACATAAGCCGGTACCTGAAAGGAGGATCCAAACATCATTAGATTAAGGGAAAAACAGTTGGAACACAGATGGCAAATTGTTCAATCATCACCAAATTGGCGAATGGGCTATTTGGGGTGCCTTGACATGGTAGATAGAGGCGATCACCGATGTGTAAGAACCTCGCGAGGCTCGGTATCTCCTTTCAAAGCGAAAACTTACCTTTCTTTAACATCTAAGAGAGTGCATCAAACATGATTTTAGATGCATGCTGAATATAAGCTCTAACTTTTACCTAATTTAATTGCCCCATTCTACTTTTATCTTTCCAAAGGAAAAAATTGCTTTGCAGAGAGAAATTTCAGTCATTTCATGGAAACTTTCATTCCTTCGTAAGCGGTCAAGAATTAACTCTCATAAGCTTCATGCTTCATGACAAATTACAAAAAATAGGAAATCAAAATTTTTGCACCTACATATATTCATCCACAGCAAATCACATCGCCAAAGAAAGTGTCAAAAATAAGAGAAAAATTGGGAAAAAAAATTGAACTTGTTTCGCTAGAAATGTAGAGTATAAAAATTTCTAAAGTTACCTGCTTCAATGGGAATCTCCTGGTGACGGCAAAAGCGATGGTGACGGCAGGATTGAAATGGGCACCGGAGATGTGGCCGACGGTGTACACAAGGACCATCACCGCGAGCCCCCACACGATGGCTATCCCCGGCTGCGTCACCACCTTCTCGTTGTTCCTGTTCACCACCACCGACCCGCAACCCGCGAATATCAAGAAGTAGGTCCCGAACAACTCCGCTATCACCTGCGATCAGCCGAAGAACACGTTAAAGTCGATCCCACATCGCTCGTGCAGGTTCTATGGTGATTAACTTTGCCCCTAAGTTGCGTCTGTTTAACCTTTGAGACTAATAACGAGGAGAAAATCTCTGGTTTTGGACGTGGGCACGAAACTCCGTGTTGATCTTTCGGAGTCAGTGTGGGACAGGACTGCACCAATCCGTACTGCCAAATGAATTCCGAAAGATCCGTATGTTTCGAAAAACTAGAGTACACGAAATTTTCCATCATGGGCAGCAGGATGCCAAGGAATTACAGATCAAATGGAGAAGCAAGGACATCAAACAAACTTGAAAGAAAAGGGGAAAAGAGAGATTTCGTTTTCTTTCTCTTCTGTTGCAGCACGGGTACGAGAAGAACAGGAAGGAGACAACAGAGGAAGAGAGTCCTCGACTCTTCTTACCTTTTGGAAGAAAGGCAGACAGAAACAGGGGCCTGCCTCTTCTTTGATCCTGGGGGCTGAGTTCGAGTCCTTCATGTCCACCACAACTCCATGAATTCCATTTTCAGCCATGACCCTCTCTCTCTATCAGAAGAACAAGTATCAGAGAGAGAGAGAGAGAGAGAGAGAGAGAGAGAGAGAGAGATTTCACTCAACTATGAAGTTTATACGGAGGAGGAATAACCCATTTATAGGAGAGCCCAAGAAAGAGAAGCAGAGCTTGGTAAGAGAGAGACACAACAGACATAGAGAAAGAGAGAGAGAGAGAGAGATTTTGGAACTACTGGGAACGCGCGAGGAGATTGGCTATGTTCCCTTCCATTGTTTTTCTTCCTGTCCTATTATTTTTTAGGTTTTTTCTTCATGATTTGATTTGGTATTAGTCATTTTTATATTCTTCGTTAGGGAAAACTTTGAAGACATCGTTGAAAAACGTCACATGCTAACTGCTAGCTGAACAGGGAGTGATCAAGAGCATTGAAGGCTGCATCAACCACCCACCGGAAATACAGAGGCAATTATGAATGGCTTTTCAGGCAGTCCCCTTGCACTTTGGCCCTTCTTCATGCTGACCCCCTCCCTCCCCTTCCTTCTGATATTGGGCTCCTTCCCTCTTTCATTTTTTAGCTCAAGTGAACACTAAGTTACTGTATCAATATTGACAGAAATTCCTAGTTCAAGCCATCCAATTCAATGCTTTAGATGTTGATATATTTGCTTTGCGGAAAAGTATTCTACAAGTAGGTTACACGACCGATGTGGGGTAACCGATCTAGGGGGTGCAAAGAAATGGGGAATCGCCCAAAATCGGATTGGACTAGCCCAGAACTGGCATTCCCATGGGGACTAGTCCGATTCTCGATTCCAGGCGTGGACCCATCCACTCGGACCGGACCGGTGTGTGTATATATATATTAAAAAAAATTCCACCCTCAATTATAAATTCCAAAAAGATTCAACAAGAACTTGTATAAAAAAAAATACAGATACCTTCTTTGGTATATCCTTCAAGATTTATGAACTGATAAAATCAGAAGAGCATCAAATGTCAATTATAATACACAAGTACTCATCATTTGAACAATTAACTCGCCGTTGATGTGTCTATCGAGCGATTAGAGTTTCATTTCTTAGTCCATCTATATTTCGTTTGAAGGACAAAGGAAATCATTTTGTGAGCATACGTCGTTTAGGCCCGTGTGAGATTCATAGTTGATTTGATATGCATATACCAATTGAAAGGCATTATGTTAGTAAGATTTCCAAGGTCTAGCCATTAATAGGTAAAGTTGTTTTTCCTTGATCAATCAAAGACTGAACAAACCGGTTTACACCAATCTTAGCTACAAATCGGTATATATACCTTTTCTCTTGCAAAGAAGTACCCACATAGAAACTAGGTTTACCATGGTATTGATTGATGAATGCAGTTTTGTGGGGATTAGCGACCAGTTCTATTGACTCACTTGGGAACCGGATTGGATCAATTTTCGATGGATCCATGGAACCAACAGTTGATTCCCGATTCCAATTTTTTGGAACCGGACTAGAACCGCCCACCTGAACCATGATTACCCCTAAACTGATCGATCATGCTATCCACGCACAACGTGCACTCTGGCCAAATATTGGAATTTTAAGAATCTTATTTCTTATTGGAGGGTCTCTCTCCATTTATCACGTGACATGGTATGATTGCTATACAAAGAATCTGGGAAAATTACTAGAAAAGTCTTTTTTTTTACCAGAAAAGTCTTAATCCTATTGCAATTGTATCAATTCAGTCATAAACCTTTTTTTTTTATTTTGCCAATTGAGTCCTAAATCTTTTTACATTTGTGCTTATTCAATCCATCCGGTCATGGCCAAAAATCGCTGACATGGAGCCGGATGTCTTATGTGGTATGGTCGGCGTTGCTGTTAACAATTTTGAATAATATTTTATTATTTTTATTATCTTTTTCTTTTTCTTTTTCTTTTTTTCCCTAAACTTAGGGCTAGGACGCCCTTGCCGGCTTTGGTGAGGGCCACGGCACCCTCACCGGCTTTGGCTAGGTGAGGGTCGTGACACCTTCGCAGAATCTAAGTGCAAGGAAAAGAAGAAAAACTAAAGAAAAAAAAACAAAATATTATAAAAAATTCAAAATATTATTTAAAAAAGTCCACGTCAGCGCTAATCATGTCACGTAAGACGGTCGTTGTTCACGTTAGCGATTTCCAGCCAAAATTGGCGAGATGGACTAAAGGTTTAGACAAATTAATCTTTTTTTGGTAATTTTACAGAAAATTAATTGGCAAAAAAAAAAAGTTTAGGATTGATACAATTGAAAAGGTTTATGACTTTTTTGATAATTTTTCACAAAAAAAACCTTTTTCAGGAAGCCCTGTTTAAACAAATTAATCTCGGATTCATAAAAATGCCCGCTTCATGAAGTACTTGCCTGACTCATGAGCTGCATAAGATGTCTTGCAAATTTTGGGAGGATGACCCAAAGTGCCAGGAATTATGTATTTTTAATACATGTACTTACACGCCATTTCTAATTAAGCTCGTGTACTTTTAAATTTATATAATCAAGTTCTTCTGCATTCATAGATTTTCTAATCGAGTCCTTCCAACACCAAATTTGGCCAGAATTAGCCAAGGTGGCCGGCCTACGATGTCCGAACAAGATGTGGACAAAACCCATTCTTGCGAAAATTGCTTCAGCACAAAATCGGAGTTAAATTCATTCACTTATTCTTAGCGAACTCAACAATCTATAGGAAATCGCCCTATTTGTCATCACAAGCTATATATTCCGAAACCTTGGCTAGTTCAAGCGAGGAGACACCAATGAAAACATTTAGATTTCGTCGCCTCCTTTCTTTCACCTATCTTTTCGTACTATGTTGTCGGTAATATTAATAGAATATTGTACGAAGTATAGTCATTGTTGCACTGTACAACATCGACATGTCCAAATACAAATATCAGTAGGCACATATATATTCGTGCTATGGATAAGATTTTACTAAGCTAGGGATTAATCCAACTCCTAACATGTGCGGCGAGAATGTTCTGATTGTGATACGCATGAAAACAACGTCATGCACGGAGGACTTCGAAAGAAACAAGAAACCCTAGGGAAGAAGAGAAAGCAATGTCAATATTACACAAGTCGAAACAACACGCATTGATTTAAACGGTGTTTTGGATGTTCATAATTTCCTTTTTCTCTTCAATTTTGATGGAGAAAATTTCTACAACATTCCTCATCCTTGCTGAAAAGAGTAATAGAACAATACGGCTTCTTTGAGAGATAAGCTGTTCACATTGTTAATCCATTTGATTAAGCTAATGACTCTATCAATTATCGCATTGAGTCTATAGTAATGAATGAAACATAAATGGAAATTATCAACCGGGTTGTATTACCTGAATGAAAATGTTAACTGACTGAATTTGTAGAAATTGTACTAAATGAGCCTAAATTAGTGCTAAATGAGACCAAACGGGGATTCAGACAACCACCTATATAATTACGGAAAAAATCACCCGAACTTAATATCTACACTAAATGTCTATAAGGGTGTCGATTGTCGTCACAGCATAAGAACAAGACTCGAATACAAATGGATTTAAAAATGGTGAGCTTGTACAAAAGAAGGCATCTATTGCACTAGAATGGAACAGCAATATCGTGTGCACGATGAAGTTGAAGCGTCAATGATGAGCTTTGGACGCAACTCGATTCGTTTGGGCATGTTTAGCTATATATGCTTGCAACCTTATGCTGTCGAACCCATATATAATATATGGTAAGATTGTATTCTATATATTACTAATACGAAAGTTGACAAGATAAGAAAAGCATCAATTGTATTCTATTACATAGCTTAAAATGGTTAGCAGATGATGTCTCTTTCCTTTAGTTTAGAAGTTTCATGTGGGCACCATTTGATGTATTATATAATTGACGGGAATTCCTAGAAGCTGAAGATGTCAAGAAAATCTAGACGCCCGACATGGAATTAATATTAGTAATAATCAACAATGAACTATTGGTGGAGACAGCTTGTGCGTGGCATGAGAAGATAAGGTGGTGAAGATTCAAGGTAGACGTTCTTAATCACCTGCGCCGTAACAAATCATCCATGTATATGATAGAAAGTTCATCTCAAAAGCCTAAGTCGATAGGCGAAGGGAAATCACGTGTATATAAAGAGCATATAAAAAGTCCAACTCAAAATCTCAAATCCTCTTTTTTTTTCCCTCTCTCATTATTATCTAAACCCCTTCTTTTTCTTCCTAATCACTCTATCCAAACCAAGTTTAAGTTACATTTGACTTTGCCTTTGGATTTTAAGCCCCCCTCTCTCTTTATCCCCCGACATTTCTATTGTCTTTGTCCTCTAAGCTTAGTACTCGAAAGTCCACTTATGACACCATTTAAAAAAGGGTACAAGGAAAGTTAGATAGAAACATAGATTATGTACCCTACCTAACCGCTCGAGTCAACAGTCGCGTAACAAAACCCTTTCGGCAAAACAAAGTAGTGAAACAAACCATGTTTTGTGCACCCGTGGTAACTCGTAGTTGAATCGCATCACGATTTGGTCGACCTTTTTAGTGAGCGCAGCGTATAATGTCTTCGTCTATCCAAAACAATTACCTCAAGATGGATGGAGACGTCCTCTTTCAAAGGCATATGATCCAGCATTCCTAGACTTAATTTCTCGGTCGCTTATATCAACCGCCGGATCAAGTTACGTCGCACCTTCTCTTAAATTTCATCTCTGATCCGATGACGAAAACGATGACTTAATCACACCATCAGCGACATCGTAGAAAATTCCCAATGAAATGACTGGGGGCACCAGTCATAGGTACAACCATTAAATTTAAGATTGAGATCGTGCATGACCATCATGATCTTTTCACACGTGCTGTTGGTAGTCGTGTTTGAAAGATTCAGTTTACACTTGAATTTCCCTTCAGCACTAATAGGGAGAGTGAGATCATGCATTGTCATGGATTACGTTGGGCATTCGACTTATCGTCTCCAACCGTTCAAAAGCTGCCCAAGCAAAACGCTAATTTGTCTTCCGAGATTAACGGTAAAAGTGACTTCGCCTCCCATCTAGTCTTGCGTGACTAAGAAAAGATTACTTCGCACCTCACAAACAATCAGCTAATAGCGTCTCGAAAAAAAACTATAGACATAGTTCCGTCAGGTGCACGTCGCATGATGAATAGCATGATGCCACATATTTGAGTGAAA